TTGATGTACAGCCGAGCTCAGGAGCGTGGAGGGTAATGCCCTCCTTTCTGGCCCGCCCTCCTCTCCAGAGCCTGGCGAAGTCAGGAGACAGAGACCCTACGCGATCTTTGCTGAAGGAGCTCTTCTGAGAAGCTAATATTTCACTGCGAAAACAGCAATGCCGTCCCTTTCTCCCCAGGGTATTTTTAACCATTTTCAGAAATACTGCTTCAAGTGGAAATTCTGTGGCTGGGCTCACAGTAGCACAAGAGCTTGATCAGAGCCGCTCTGAGTTAGGCTGCCAGTGCCGCCGGTGTTGTAGGGCACGTGCTATGGCTCTTTGTCTGTCTCAGGTTAGGAATGAGAGCGTCTGTCTTTCACACACGACCGCTGTTCAAATCACATTATGAAAACTGTTTTCGATATCCTAAGAAACAGTTCACAGAATCTCTCCCCGCTCCAACCTAGACCCAACCCCTCATACCTGATTAATTCCCTAATGTTATTTGACTCTTTCATCTTGCTCATATAATACCAAAAGTGTTGAGATTATCTCTATTAGCTGTTTGCCAGGCATCTGTGCACCTTTAGAAACTGCCACCACGTCCAATCACCTGCCGTCCTTCTGTGGTTTCCGGGGAAACCAACGCACGTCGCTACTTCATATCACATAGGAAACTTAAAAATTAAAAAAAAATGGACCCTGCAGCATTGCCTTTTCATCAATAATTCTAAGTCACAAAAATACATCCCCATTAAAAAATAATGTCACATAAACAATAAATAGAGCAGGCAGCAGGGGGAAGGATGGCATTTTAAGTCACTGCTCCCTGGTGGAGGTAATGGGGAGGGGTGAGCAGGCGCCAAGAGGCTGGGTGTATGTGTCACATGACCCCACACACACACACTCTTGGGCTCCTGCCTCTCCTGTCTCTCTGCAGGGTAGTCTTAACCTTTCCCAGTGGCTCTTGGCTGGGTCTATGGGCCCGGCGCACTCAGCGCTCACAGCTGTCTGGCTTTGCCGCCTAAAGATCCGTGATCTTCCAGGTGGAGCATAAAGAGTCCCAGGGAGGACTCTGATTGGCTCAGCTTAAGTCACGTGTATACCCATTAGCCAATCACTGTTTAAGGGGGGAGGAGCCATTCAGCCCACGTGACAAGGAAAGGCAGAAAAGGATCACTTCCTGAAGTTCATTCGGGAAGGGCCACACCCAGACAGGAACCCTAGGACATCCCTGTGAGCTAGACAGCCCCCCCAGGGCCCCTTCTTAGCACCCGCATGTCACAGAGCCCTCTCTCCATACTATAGGACCTCTAGGTCCATGGCTAAGAAAATACAGACTGATGTAGCAGCTGAACACATGTGCAGTGAAACTGCATGGTCCACCATGTAAGCAAACACCCCATGGTGGGACACGGAATGCGTTACTATCTGAGCAGGGCTGGACGTGCCTGCAGAAAGGCTGCCTCCTGCAGGAACTCAGGAGTCCCTTCTAGACCAGACTGCCACATGCACACCCCCAACCAGTGCCACTTGGCCACTGTGAGACTGGCTTCTCCACAGCCCAAACGGCTGCAGGAGGAGAAGGGCAGGGGTAGCAAGATGGGGAGAAGTGCCTAAAGGGTCGCCACCTGGGTGCTGGACAGGTCTGCCAAAGCGGGACCGCCAGCACAGGTGACTTCTGCATGTGGTGATGTCCCCTGACACGGAGACCTGACGGAAGACCTACCGCGTGAAGTGTCCTTCTATCCTCTTATGCAGCTGTGCTTCAAGGTGTCTCGAAGTGTTACTGAAAACCTTCATTTCTGCCACCTTTGGCTGTGATACCAGCGCTATCCCTGCCTGCCCAGTGTGACCCTGAGAAGGTCGCTTTCTGGTGTAGGTCTCACAAAGCGAAGAGACTGAATTTAATTGCTCTTTCTCATGTTTTTCCTCTCGCACATCCTTCGTGACCGGCCGGATGGTGCACGGGGCGGCCCGGGCACTGCAGGGTGCAGGGCAAAGAGGGTGAAGATCTTGAATCTTACATTACATCTTCAGATAACCATGACCCCTGACCCCAGTTTGTGAAGCCTGGGGCTAACCTGCCATCATCAGTCCAGAGTGTCCTGTGTGTTCTCGAGAGGAGGTTGCCCCCAACCTATCTCAACGTGAGCTCTTTTCTCCTACATCAGGAATTTAGGACCTAGACATGGTTGTCTGCGGAAGGGACAGACCCAACTCTGGGACTGATAACAGATTCTGCCAGCTTCCTTCACGTAACCCTTGTCGTTCCTGCCTGTCTCAGTTTACACAGAGCTTTACCTCGGAAGCCCCTCAGGTCCTCTGGAAAACGGGTCAAGAATAAACCTTAGCCGCCAGAAATACAGGTGTGCCATCTCTTAACCTGCAGCCCTCCGGGCCAGGTATATTCAAGAATTCGGCGTTTCTCAGGCGTGGGACTACATCGTACCCTACATAGCATCGCTGGCAGGGCCGGGCGGCAATCCATGATCAAGCACATTAGGATTTCTACAGAAAACCTAAGAACATTCACACTAAATAGTTTCACATCAGTGCAGCTCAGACTTAGCTGCCGAATTAGCTCAACGCAGGTCAAGCTTTGCCACCAGGCGAGTCACAAAAATGGCTTTTGATTTTCAGAGCACGGAGGGTTTTGGAATTGCCGGTGGGGGGTCGTGAGTCGGGGCAGCCAACGCAAAGGAGGCCCTGGCGCTGACAACCAGTTCCCCAGGGCTGCAAGGCTCCCCCGCGGCTCCCACCCCGCTGGGGACGCCAGGCCGCTGGCCTGTCTCTGAGCCTCTTTCTTCGTCCGTAAAATAGGAATAAAAATCTCCCCTCACAGGTCACCGTATGGTTTCAGGGACTCTGCGGGGGGTTAACCTGTATGTAGTCACGTCCACTGAACAGAAATTGCTCTTAGGCCTGTGGTCTGTTGTCACCCTCACCGCCCGGTTATGGAGGGGCTAGATGTTCCTGCATCGCGGGCTGTGTCAGGAGGGGACAGTCCTCAGACTTGCATCTGTAGGAGCCCTGACTCTGTACAGAGCAGAGGAACCACATGTGTTTGGCTACCGACAGCTGATTGTCCCGTAAAGTATGCGTCCCGAGAAGTCCCAGATCTGTGACTTACTGTTAATTTCCCGTAAATGTTCCAGTCAGAGCCCATTTTCAAGTCCGTGTCTGGAAAATCCCAGGAGTCTCCGGCTCCCGCTGGGGCCACAAGGGGCTTCTGCACAGCCTAGACATCACCCGCTCTTATGAGCCAACAGGACACAGTCCCCAGATCGCGCGTGATGTGGGCCATTCGCTCCCTGTCAGATGAGGGGCAGTGACTCAGAGCACCAGGGGATCCTCTGCCTTTCCTGAGTCTCCATACAGATGACACATCACGAGTGCTACCCTCACTCCAGCCTGGCCACGGACGGGAACACCCCAGGGCGTCTGAGAACCACACACTCCCGGGCCCCACCGCCCCCAGGCCTGCTCAGTCGAGACCACAGGAAGCATACCCCATGATCTGTGCTCTCCCAAAGCCTCCCTGTTGATTGTGAGACAGCATTTGGGGGTGTCCCACCCTTCATACCACCCAGGCCTCTGGAGACCCTCTTGGGGAGAGAAAAAAGGGCAGGTGTGGCTGAGCTCCTAGGAGCTCAGGCGCCGGACCCAGAGAGGACATGTGCTGGAGTGTCAGGGACGGAGGCCAGGCGGGACACCTTGGAATGCAGAGCTCTACCCAGCCACAGGCTCCCGTCCTGGCCTTGAACTTGGAAGGCTAGATGGCTCCGTGTCTGTACACCCATATTTGGCGTTTCTGAGGAGTATGTGGCCTTTGGGAGGTCCGCGGTGGTGCAGGGAGGTGCCCACTGTGTTTTCAGGGAGTAGGGAGGGGGCATCTCTGTGTGGGGCCCAGCAGAGGAGCCGGCCAGCCTGTGGGTGGACGGCAGGGCTCCCCAGGGGTATACAAAGCTCCTCTGGGGCAGGGCCCTCCCCTCTCTTGGGAAAACCATCTCTGCTATCTGTTACCATTGCTTCCAGTGACTTCAAATCAATCCCAAAACCATGAAACAGGGTCCTGGCTTTAAGAACATGAATGTAGAAACGATGTGGACTAAATGTTCTCAGTGGAAGCTGCTGATTTATTTTATTACAACGACGGGGGCAGGGTTAGAAAACCGCTCAGACTGGCCTTCACCAATCAACGGGGCTGGTCGTGTTCTGTGAGGGGAGGGGTCAGGCTTCTCAGGGCTTGGGGAGGGAGGAGTCGGCGGCTACCGTAGTGGCTCAGTAGGGCCCCTTTCCTTGGTAACTTCCCCGCAGAGGTCCGCACGGATGTGACATAACACGGACATTTGTATCCCACAAAGGACACCCCTTCCTGACCTCCACGGGTGCTCAGGGCCGGCTCCCTTCATTCTGGAGCAGTCTACACCATAGTCCTGGGCAAGCTGAGGGCCCTGGACCATTCTTCCTCCCACCCCCCATGCAGGAGTTCTGCCCTGGGAGGGCACAGAGCACCCCCTTGAGGTGGTGTAGACCTCTCCTGGGGCAGAGGATGACGTGTAGACCTGTCCTGAGGCAGGAGTACAGTGCAGACCCCTCCTGGCATGGGCTGACACACACTGAGGGGCCAGGCGTCTCTGGGACAGCACATGGCCCCCATTTCACTGTAGTGGAGGTGCTGAGCTCAGGCGGGGGAGGGGCGTACCTTGTGTGAACTGTGGGATGTCATGGAGGTGGGGGGCAGGAGAGAGGGTGGGAAACCGTGGACACTAACCATCTCACTTTGGGTGGCTATCGCTGGTCCTGCCTCCTGGCCACTCCGTGCTTCCAGTTCAGGTCCCCTGCCTGTGGCCACCCTCCCCCTGTGGCAGCCCTACCCCTCCCCTCCCCCGTGCCCACCCTCTTCTGTGGCTGACCTCCCCCATTCCTTCATGCCACCCGTCCCCTCCCCTGTGCCCACCCCTTCCCGGGCACCCGCTGCTGCCCAAGGCCCACTCACGCCCGGCTGTCTCCCCAGGGCACCGATTCAGAGTCTGAGGACGCGCCCCCCCAGCACTCCTTCGTCAACCACTACATGAGTGACCCCACCTACTACAACTCGTGGAAGCGGCGGGCCCCAGGCGGGCGCGCCCCGCACAGGTACGAGGCGGTGGCGGGCAGCGAGGCAGGGCCGCACCTGCACACGGTGGTCACCACACAGAGCGCCGTGTTCACACCCACGGGCCCCGGCGCCCGGACTCCACTCACCGGCTTCTCCTCCTTCGTGTGACGGCCGCAGCGGGGCCTCCGCGCACCTTCCAGCCTCCTTTTGTTAAGACAATCACTCCAGTAACTGAGCTCAAGCTTTTGTTCAACCAGAATTCTGACAAGTGATGATTTTACCTACTTGTGAACACTAGATTTCAATTAGAAAGGTTTTTGTAACGGCTTTTTGTAACATCGCTGCCGGAAGCGGGTTTCTTTGTTTTCTTTTCTTTTTATGAGAAGGTGTATTTCAGTGGTGCAATGGCGGGAAGACCCCAGTGGCCCCCAGTCCTGGGTTTCTGCATCTCCCCCCCACATAGGGAGGCTGTGGGGGGAGGAGGAGCGGGGGTCGAGTGAGATGTGCGCCCACGTCCAGGCCGCTCCTTCCTCGTCTCTACCTCCCGTGCCTCTGGAGAACAGCATGTTCCCCTGGCTCTCCGCCGGTGACACGTCCGGCCGGGCTCCCACTCGTTTGCTCCGCATCCACAGAGCCAAGTGTGCCCTGGGCTCAGCGCTTCTCGGCCCAACCGCATCCATCTCTGAAATATTCTCACTGCACACTTTCGAGGCAAGGAGTCGGCCTTCAGGTCCCTGGTGAGGGGGCAGGAGACTGCGCGGCGAGGGCCTTTGGGCCGGTTGGCGGCTCAGTGCTTGCACCCCTGCGTCATTAAAGCAGTGAACCCCCCGGGGCTTTCTTCCTTCCTTTCCTCGAAGCCAATGGTGCAGAGCAGGGGACGGCGTGCGGGGGGCCCTCCCGCGGCGAGCTGTCTGCTTCCCGCGAACACAGCGCACGGCCCACCCCGCGAACCCACAGAGAGCGAGAAGGCGCTTTACAGAATTGCTCATTGTGTCAGAGGCGTGCGTTGTTAACCAGAGGATTTTTTAAATCTTTTTATCTTTTTTTAAAATATGTCACATGAAATGAATGAGTCTCTGCTGTCTCCAGGTGCCTTTTTATTAATTGTTTAGCTTTGTACGTGAGAAAGACGGAAAGCGTCAGCATCTCCAAATAAAGCGAAACAGCTCTGAGAACACGGGGCCCGAATCGCCGCCTCCCCACCAGGCCTCCGACGCCTGCAGACCATGCCCGTCCCCTGAGCGGCCCCTCCCGGCCTCCCTGTCCCGCCCGCTGCCTTGACTGCCAGAGCTGCTGTCCCTGCCCCCAGCCCAGCCCTGCTTTCAGCCTTAACGGGTTTTCTGGAAACTTTCTTTTTCCCCTTTGCTACTTTAGTTTTCATTTTTTTAGCTACATGAAAATAGTATGAACTGCTTTGAAAATTCGAGAGCCCGTAGCGTAGCTGTGGCTCCGGCCATCACACTATTCTCACACGAGGTGGCCGAGGAGTCGGCGGCCAATGCCCCAGGCCAAGGCCACGGTTCAGGTGTAAGCCCCAGAGCTCTGGGAGAGCCCCACACCCCACATTGGCTGCAGGAGGGGGCCGCAACCATGCCCTGAAGGGGTGGAAGCCGGGCCTGGGGCCACGTGTAGAGCACATGCTGTCTCCTCCGCTCTAGTCCGTCTGTACTTCGTGGGACCCTCGGCTGTCGGGGCGGCCGCCGGGGCCCCAGGAGGCCAAGGAGAGTTTTGTGTTGGGCGAAAAGCCCCTTTTCCATTTTTCCAAAAGTTGACAGTGTGGAAAGGTTCTTCTCTCCTTCTCTCTCTCTCTCTCACTCCCCTCCTCTTTCCTCCCTCCCTCCCTTCTCTCCTTCCTGCCTTCTTTTTCTGAGTGGAAGCAGAAATAATCTAAACCAAAAATCCTAGACGCTCTGCCCAAAGCCACTTGTGCGTGAGAATCACCCCCAACAGTTCACTGGACAGGACGAGCTCAGGGCCCCAAGCCCGGCTCCATCCTCTGGGCCCAGGGAACGGCTGGCGAGGGCGGCGGGAGCCCGCACATGGGGCTACGGGCTGCACATTGAACTTCTCGGAAGACAGACACCTGGTGAGAACACGGACAGACACTGCCTTCTGTGCACTTCGAGCTCTAAGCCATACGGACTCCACTATCAATACGGGGGAAAGTATTGTAACGTCGCAGATGAGGACCCTTTGGTTTAAGGTGTGTTCTTTGCTTTGGGGTTTTTGCGACAACATGAAGCTTTCTTTCAGGTTCATTATAGTTCCTGTGCTTCCTCTGCTTCTACTGAACTTATTTTGTGTGTGGGATCATCTGTCTGAGGCTCTGCCGGCGCTATGGCTGCTGGCGGACGGGTAGCATCGCACTCCCAGCCCCCCCTCCCTGTCCCTTGGAGCTGGGGGCTGTGAGAGACGCTGCACCAAAGGAACAGAGTGGGCGTTTGCAGTCAGGTTTCAGCCCTCCTCCCCACCCCCAGCAGTATGGGCGTCGACAAGCATCAGTTCCCACCTCTCATCTTTTCGGGAGGAAAGAATAAGTACCACACAGCCGGAGAGTAGGTATTGGATTTTAATCTCCGTCCTAAGAACAGAACGACGACAAGGTCAGATGTTCTCATCTTGCCTTTTTCTGTACTGATGTCATTCAGGTGCCCCACGGTGAGCAGCGGCTGAGCCGCCCCCCATGAACCCCTCACAGGGTGGCTCATCGGGCCATGAGCTATCCTTTCCCTGTGGAGTTGAGCCAGCAAAGTGGCCAGGCAGAGCCGAGCCCTCTGTGGGAGCTACAGGGACCGGGACAGGGCTGTGCCTCCCTGCCCAGGCACCGGGGCGCAGGTTTCCAGGCAGGTGAGTGGCCCGCGCCCAGCCGGCAGTAAGCACCCCTCCCTCCCTGAACAAATCAGCCCAACGCCACCCCTGTCCTGCCCCAGCCTTCCCTCCCTTTCTGTCACTGACGTGCTTTTAAGGCGAACTCGATTCCGTGTCATAGCAGAGGACGGTGTGACATAGGGCGACGTGGGGACCCATCCCCCACGCCACGAGTGACTGCAGAGGCCCTCGGCCACGGATCCGTCCAGGCCGAGGGGAGGAAGGGTTGCGTGCACGCTGTAAACTTCTTTTGATGCTGTGCTTGTACTTGACCACGACTGGACTGAAGCATGGTGTTTGCGTAATGGATCTGGATCGTAGCATGGTTTCTAGTTTTTGCGAATTCTCGGCACACGGTGTAGCCATTCTCCCAGTGAGCAGTCCACCCGCACACCCATGTCTGGCTCTCTTTAACCCGGGGTCCTGCAGCATGGATCCGGTCCAGAAGGTGGGAACGCCCGGCACCCCAGGAACTCTGTTTCTCAACGTCACCTTCCGGTTTCTCGAGAGCTCAGGTCAGTCCTGAAGCTCTCCCAGCAATGTTTTCTGGAATTGTGCAGAAACCCAGATCTCATTAAAAAAATGTAGGAAGACAGAGAGGTGCTATGGGTACGGTTTTTAATAAAAACATCATTTTGTTCCTTACACGCTTGTGGTTTTCTTCTACACGGGTTGGTGAAATTTCCCAAGTTCCAGGGCTGAGGGTTAAACTCGGAGCTCAGCCCCAGCGTGGCCCCGAACCACACACACAGCCATCCCAGACCCCGCTCCTGTTGAGATGCGGGCGCACACGGGTGGCACACCTGAGGTCACAGGGATTTGACTCCTCCCAGGGAGAGACACGTCAGGGCCACCACATACCCACGCGGTCTGTGAACCATCGCCTTCCTCAGCCCCAAACCACCCCTCCCAAAGACTCCACAGAGCCCAGAGGAGACACTGCACCCCAGCAAACATAGGCTTGGTTGGTGGGAATGCAGGAATCTCCCCTCCGTGCAGGCCTGGCCTCCCTCACCCCAGGTCCTGCCACCCTCAGAGGGGGGTTCTCAGCCATGGTGGGTTCAGAATCCCTGGCAGGGGTTACAAATCCCCATGCCCTGGTCACACCCCGACCAGCTGAGACGGGATCTCTGGGGGCTGGGCCCACACATCTACCATGGGTCTGAAAGCTACCCAGGTGGTCGCATCTGCGTAGGGGAGAGGCAGGGCTGCCAGCCGCAGGGAGGACACGGCTGCGGGTCACAGGAGGACTAGGGCGCCGGTTTGCCCTTTTGCTCCAGAAGCCAGCGCTGCCGTCGACGGGCCCGAGGTAAGAACCTTGCCCTTGTTCTCCTGCCCACCCTCCAGGCAGGTGAAGTTGAAGCCTGCCCGTTTGGCACCACGCCCAGCGTTTCCGGAACTGCGGCTTCCGTGTCACAGGCAGCTGGCGTGTCCTGCGCCCGTACCGTTTGCCAGGCCCGTGCCATGTTCTTCAACTTTGTCCGTCCACAGGACCTCCAGCACCATGCGTGGCAGGCACAGTCAGGGCTCCCGTTTCGTAGATGAGGAGACTCCCAGAGAGGTGAAGCCACGGCCCCAGGGTGGCCGGCTGGCACGGCGCAGGTTGGGGGCCACGCCTGGACAGCTGGGGGCCGCCAAGCCAGAGTCCTGAGCCACCGCACTGTTTTCCAGGAGGGGGGTCTGCTTCCCCCGGCTTTCTTGGGAGCCTGGGACAGAGAGCCTTGGAGCAGCCGGGTGTGGTGCTCGGCCCAGAGCCTGGCGGGAGTGTGCGGGCACACAGCGCCTTCCTCCCCAGCGCCCTGCCCCACGCTAACAAGGACAAAGTGGATGAGTTAGCCCGGCCCGCAGCGCAATGACCACTCTTGCTGAGAAGTTCGTGGCAGGACTTTCTCAAGGCAGCATCTGTCACGCATAACAGAGACCCCACTCCCGTGTGGGTGACAGGGTGACTGTCCCAAGAAGGAAAGGCAACATGGGTGACAGCCCCAGGAATGGAGCCCTGATGGCGGTTTCTCTTGCTCTGAGGACAGGACGCAGAAGGTGCCGGAGTGTGGCGGCCGCACTCTGGGGGCCCCTGCCTGGCTGGGAGGAGCGGGAGCTCCCGAGTCCTGCAGAGCCCGGTCCCCAGACCCCCAAGGGTGGGCGGGGAAGCAGCAGGGGCCACAGGGACCTGCACACCATGAGTCAGGCTCCCGCTGAAGGGGACAGAGGCTCTGGTCCTCCCCTTTTTCACCCAGAGGTGCATGCACAGGACTGTGGGGACCTGGGCACTGCCAGGGTGCTTGAACAGAGCTGGGCCCCAAGGGCAAGATCATGGAGAGAGGTCATTAGTGCCTTGACCGCTTAGAACACGTTTCCCTGCCCACCCACACCCCCACTGCCTCTGGGATGTCACCTCTCCCCCAGGCCCACCTCCCAGGCCACAAGTGTGCAGGTGAGGCCGGGGGTGGCCTGCCACCTCCTCCTTGGCACGTGACTCTCTGGCAGCAGATGAGTGAGCTGGGGGCTCCTCTCAATCTCTCCTGGGACAGCGGAGAACCCCGCTTCCTGCCCCTGGAGGGTGCCTCATCACCCTCGGGCCTGAGCTCTGAGTGCCCGCGGTGCCCCTGCCCCCATGGGGCCAGCCTGTGGGGCCGCAGAGACACCAGTGAGGCGAGAAAGGGCCCCTGGCCCCGGGAGCCACAGCCTCTCTGCCTGGGCTCACAGATTTGGGCTCAGACCCACGACCGTCCTTACAGAAAAGATGTACCAGCCTTGTTCGCCGTGAGCTGTGGATGGAAGCCTGAGGTGTGTTTTCTGCAAAACGAGGCATTTGGGGGGACAAAAAAAAAACCACTCAGTTTCTCCACAGCCCCAGCCCAGCAGGGCTCTCCCTCTGTCAGTCAGTGTTGCTCTGAGCACCCGACAGGGTCATTCGGGGTTGACTCAGGCAGTGAGGACTCAGAGCTGCTGCTAGCCTGCCTGCCGCTGCCTCTGACCTGACCCACAGGCGGGGGGACCCCGTTAGCCCCGTGGACATGCTGCTCAGGGTGTGGGAAAGCCAAGCCAGAGGGCGTGAGCTGGACGTGGCCCTGAGCCCGCAGCCTCCACCGCTGGATGATGGCAAGGTGATTCCGCCAGGGCTGTATTCACCACAGCCGCCCTGGGGCCCCCAACACTGCCATGCCAAGGCCTCATCATGTTCCCCACGAAACCCGGGATTCGACGGTGCAGCTGCGGTCCGTGTGGCATTCGCAAGTGGGCCTGTCGTGAGGTGGACACATTCGCAGACCCCATGTCCGGAACCACAGATGCTTTCGCAAACCTTCTGATGGAACGGCCAGTGAGCCACCCCCCCCTATCACGGGACTTGAACGTGTTTGCTGTGTTGCTCATCCAAGCACCTCAGAATTTGCCAGAACTTCCTTCCCTTTAATGGCTTATGTCAATTAGCAGCCAAACAAGGGCGAAAATTCCCAGCTGTTAATTCTGGGCTCTGCAGCCTTAAAATGCCCTGTTTCTCCTAAGGAGACAATATTCTACAGTCATTGAGCAAACCACTCTGATACGGGGTTGAATGTGATCCAGGCTCAATGTGATCCAAGGGTTTTTTTTGTGTTTATTTTACTTTTTTCTTTTATGTTAGCATCCTTAACTTTTTTTTAATTATTTTTATTTTTTTATTATTTTTGTTTTACCTACATAGCATTTTATTTATTTTTCTTTCATAGTTTATTGTTAAGTTGATTTCCATATAACACCCAGTGCTCATCCTAACAAGTGCCCTCCCCCATGCCCATAACCCCGTCCCTTCTCCCCCACCCCCATCAGCCCTCAGTTTGTTCTCAGCATTCAAGAGTCTCTCATGGTTTGCCTCCCTCTCTCTCCCCAACTGTTTTTCCCCTTCTCCTCCCCCATGGTCCTCCGTTAAGATCCTCCTAATCCTATACGTGCAAACATATGATATTTGTCCTTCTCTGCCTGACTTATTTCGCTCAGCATAACACCCTCAAGATCCATCCATGTTGCTACACATGGCCAGATTTCATTATTTCTCATAGCCATGTAGAATTCCATAGTATAGATAAACCACATCTTCTTGATCCATTCATCAGTTGATGGACACTTAGGCTCTTTCCATGTTTTGGCTATTGTTGAGAGTGCTGCTATGAACATTGGGGTGCATGTGCCCCTATGCGTCAGCACTCCTGTATCCCTTGGTTAAATTCCTAGCAGTGCTATTGCTGGGTCATAGGGGAATTCTGTTGTTAATTTCTTGAGGAATCTCCACACTGTTTTCCAGAAGGGCTGTACCAGTTTACATTCCCACCAACAGTGTAGGAGGGTGCCCGTTTCTCCACATCCTCGCCAGCATCTAGAGTCTCCTGATTTGTTCATTTTAGCCACTCTGACTGGCGTGAGGTGGTATCTCAGTGTGGTTTTGATTTGTATTTCTCTGATGAGGAGGGACTCTGAGCATCGTTTCATGTGTCTGTTGGCCATCTGGATGTCCCCTTTGGAGAAGTGTCTGTTCATGTCTTCTGCCCATTTCTTCACTGGATTATTTGTTTTCCGGGTGTGGAGTTTGGTGAGTTCCTTATAGATTTTGGATACTAACCCTTTATCTGATATGTCATTTGCAACTATCTTTCCCATTCCGTCGGTTGCCTATTAGTTTTATAGATTGTTTCCTTTGCTATGCAGAAGCTTTTTATCTTGATGAGGTCCCAATAGTTCATTTTTGCTCTTGATTCCCTTGCCTTTGGGGATGTGTCAAGTAATAAATTGCTGCAGTTGAGGTATAAGAGATCTTTGTATGATGAAAACTATAGAAAAATTATGAAGGAAATTGAAGAAGACATAAAGAAATGGAAAAACATTCCATGCTCATGGATCGGAAGAATATTGTTAAAATGTCATTACTCCCAAAGCAACCTACACATTCAATGCAACCCCAATCAAAATTGCACCAGCATTCTTCTCAAAGCTAGAACAAACTATCCTAAAATTTGTATGGAACCACAAAAGACCTCGGATAGCCAAAGTAATATTAAAGAAGAAAACCAAAATGGGAGGCATCACAATCCCAGACTTTAGCCTCTTTTACATTTATTTAAGAGGGAGTGGGCACAGGAGCAGGGGAGAGGAACAGAGGGAGAGACAGAATCTCAAGTGGGCTCCAGGATCCTGGGATCACAACCTGAGCAGAAATCAAGACTCAGACGCTCAACCTGCTGAGCCACCCAGGTGCCCAGGTTCTAATATTTTGATAACAAATCCATATTTCTAAGGCATCCTGAGATGTTTCTGTGAGATTCTCCTACCAGCAGAAGGCATAATTGGCCTGCTGACTTGGGGGTCCTTTGGGGACCCCACAGGGAAAATCCTATGCAGCTGATGGAGGCCCAGAGCTGCAGCCGAGATCCTGGGCTCACAAAGTCTTAGGGAACATTTTTTCAAGGACGTTGGAGGTCAGAAAATTGGGGAACGGCTGCTCCCGAGAAGACGTGTGACAGAAGCCAGACACAAACCCAAACAAGCCGCTCAGAGGCCTCTGGGGACTCCAGTGAGGGAAGCCCCCCTCCACCGTTTGCCTCCAGAGACCCACTCACCGTCCCCAGCAGAGTCCCCTGGCCCGGTGCCACCTCTGGCACAGATGTCCCCAG